TTTTTTTTTTTTTTTTTTTTTTTTTTAAATTAGGTTGAGGTTTTGGAAAATAAAAAATTTAGGTCGGTTTGTAGATTGACATTTTTTTAGTCAATGCGACGCGACCTCACCAACTCGAAAATAGAATTACAACTTTACCTTACTTTTAAAATTATTATGAAACTTAAAAAGATTAATGATGCATTGTAATTTGTGAGTTTGATGTTTGAACTTTATGAGATAATTAAAAAAAAACCCGACAACTAAGGTTGGGTTGGATTCAAATTAGTCCAAAAGATTCTCCAACCCGTACCTGAAGGCTCAAAGTAAAAATTTACTCAAAGTTATCGGAGGCAAAGTTAAACTCGTATACACACTTAAACTACAAAACTACTCAAAGTAAAAATCTATTAAATTTTAAGATGAAATATGAAGCTTAAACGAATATGAAACAAGTTGGTGATATATATTCCATCATTAGGAACAACGAAAAAAAATGTTTAATCCACATATAATGAGGCAACCCCGTAGGAGCCTCATCCAATAATTTATCAAACATGTATTAATTAAAAAAAACGTTGTTAAAACGTAAGCCTCTCATATTCACTTCAATTTCAGAATCAAGTTTCTAGTAAAATCAGATATCTTATTTCATCGGAATCAGACAAGCCGTCTTTAGCATTTCCATTTCGCGATTCATATTCAAAGCATGAATACATACATTGATAAGAATCCGAAGAGGGAATAATCAAGAATGCAACGCTGCATACCTAAAAACCCTAAGAAATAGATGATCAGGAACGCAATGTGACGTACGGTTCTAACGAATCCAAATGCAACTAAAATCTTGAACAAGTACATGAATGAATACCTTCCAAAAAAAATAACGTGAGAAAAATTCTTCAATGATCAATGCAATTTTTAAAAAAATACTAACCCTATATAACAAGACATCCAAGTGCAGCTAACACTTTAATGAGATATCTGTATGGTTGTATCCTACTGATTAAGTGAAACAAATGTCCAAGAAAATTTTCAGAACATTGTGCGTTCTAGTAAAAACTCATATAATACATATATCCATAAAAGGGACCAAAAATATACCATTAGAATGGATTTTTAAGATGATTATTGATCTCACTGCATTTGTCGCTCCCAGCTCAATCAACTATAAGATGGAGCCAAGCATTCATCAACCATGTCTACTAGATTTGGATTCTCCAGTGCTGCTGCAACTCTTTCTTTGTCATTAAGTTGTTTGTTTACTGCAGATGTGAAAAATAAATTAGAACTATGACTTGAGGAGCCAACATGTTCTTAATTATGAACCACAGCTATGAGCAAAACATTCATAATTATTTTTCCAGATGGCACTCATCACGAATACTTCTCATGTTAAATAGAAATTTATAGAAAAGTATATTGAACTTTTCTTTTTGGTAGCCGAGCTTTCATTATTAAGAGGTAATCTATTTTAGAGATATTCAATCAAGCCTTGATTAAGTTCGATGATAGAGTGACTCAATTCATAGCAAGGTTCCAAGTTTTTAAAAAGTAATCTAATTCTAACCTCATCTCTTGGTTTATCCGAATTTTGTATAAGAAAGTGTTAATTTCTTTGATTCAAGGGTTCTTGCTTCAACAAAAGCTTAGATGGTTGGGCTGAGGATTAGGGTTGCCTTATCAGTCATCGAGCTTTCATTGAAAGTATAAAAGAATATACAAGCGCATACAAAAAACGAGTCCCACAAAAAATGAAGACCCAAAAACTACATAAAGGGGCATCAATCCAACACACCTAGTTACTGAAGAACACAGGGGAGGCGTTAAACCTCATCACCTAACCTAAGCCCATAGAAAAGTATGCTTATTGTGGCTTGGTGTGGAGTATGGACTACTAATGTATCAGAGCATGGAAGAAGTTAAAATACGAGGACATGTAAGGTTAGTGAGATACCTGCTGCTTCAGTAGCATGAGATCCTGGAGCTACCCTAATGTCCACCTAAAAAGATGGAGAATGGTTTTAAGCAATCAACAACAAAACTGTAATGTAAAATGAAATTATCTCAAATTTTAGAATGCGGGAGAAAATTTCCTAATTTGGGATTCTAAAATCACCACCATAGAATAACCAATTCCCTCACCACATTATCAATATGAAATTGTCTTAACCAATAGATAAAGGGATCTTTCTTGTAATTCTTCTAGTTTGTTTGTGGCCTTTGGCTTCACATGTAAGGCTTCTTGTGGCTTTGTTTTGTACGTTCATCCATCTCTACGGAAGCTGGTATCTTCATATAGAGTGATTATTCGAATTTTTCAGTTCGTTTAGAGCAGAGTACTTGTCTTATACTACTATCCACTAAAGCTCTCTCGGTAGAAGATAATTTTCCCAACTATCCTACAGCCTAGTTCAACTTCAAAATCTAGATTTCCTACAAGTTGTATCTATCTGTTTGCCAAGCTCTAATTCTAAGACAATCTTGGGTCCCCTCAGAGAAGTGGAATCCTGATCATCATTTTTCTCTGATTCACAATTGTCATTTTAACCTGACATAGCACACTTGATTTTGATTCTACTTTTAAATGCTGAAATATGAGCATTAATTGACCCACCCACCCATGCATAAATAATGACGCTCATTCTTCAGCTATAGAGAGACTTTTGAATTGCCCTTAAACGATAGAATAACTACTGAGATTCTCTTAGATAGCGATCACATCTATGGTCAATCAATAGGTCTGCGGATCTAGTCTTTTATACGATCTAAATGAACTCCCTCTTATGGTTAAAAAAGTGGCGTGACGTTTTGGGGCGGTGCTCCAGATATGGATGCTTGGCCAATAATAAGTGATCAAGATTCGAGATTAATACCTTGTACCGAGAAGGTAGGCTCCTCATGAGTTTCACCCTTAAGCACAAACCAATAACTGTTGCCATGCTACAATGTTCAACTGTTGGAGTAAATGTAACCCTGCGAGCAACAAAATCATTTACAGAAAGGGAACAGACACCAGAATAAAACAAACGTTACAAATTCTGGTAGATGAATGAGGTTAGACAACAGAATTACTAAATATTAGGTTACCTCACATAACTATGCTCGTCATCTACTTCGACTGCATCTTCTGTTATCACTTTAAGCTCTTCCAAAGAGTAAGGGTGTTCGGGATCTTTTATATCTCTAATATGATTTAAGAATGTTAAGGAAAAAATCATACAGTGTGAATACCCACATGATTTGTTTCATTAACCTCTTCAAATACAGCATATACAAAGTGCATAAGAAACCACAATTTCATTAAGAGAAGTGACATTAAAAGATGAGGCCAACATATATACAAGATTCCTTGAACCATGCTTGTCCTATGTACCACAGAAAGCATATCCTTATGATAAAAGAAGTTCCATAGCAAAGTAGTTGCTGCAAATAATTATAAGAGTCTTGGTGTTTTGTGCTGACAACATTTAGTTAAGGAATAGTGAATACTTAACCAAAACACAAAAGTGAAATGAAGAACAGACAGGAAATTTCAAAATTTTAAAAAGGATATCAAAAATTTCCAACTGATCAATGGATTCCACTGCATATTCGTCACTATCACATGGAGTGTTTCGAGCCCGGCGTTCTTTCTTTTCGTATACAACAGGATTTGCATTTATCAATCCAGATACCATCTTCTTGCCTTGCTGATATATCAACCATACATTAACAACAAATTTGATTGGAATAGTATTTTGAATCCGGTACTAATAACTGAAATACTGAATATAATTGGAAACAATCAAGTCCGCTAGAAAATATCTAGTCCTATGAAAATATATGTATACAGAAAAATGATAGAAATACAAATCAATAAAATAATTTGGCTAGAGCTAAGATCAAACTAGCTGTATGACTTCACAATATTTTACCCCAAAAAAAAGATCACATAAGCAATTCCTTCTAATGAGAAAAGTAAGATAAGAACGAATTTAATACAAATACATTACGGAAAATCCGTTTCGACAAACCGCCCAGTCGTAATTTGAAAACGGCAGATGTAAAAGATAATTTCCCCTCGCGACAACCCTCACATATCCAAATTGTCCATAGATGCCTCAGAAATCAAACGAAGAAAGCAAAATCACAAGAGCACATGGAATTAAACCCCGCCAAGATAAAAAAAAATAAAAATAAAAAAAAATAATACCTAAATGAAACGTTCAACCTTTGCTAGGCAGAACTAGCGGTTACCAGATTCTCTGTCTACTCTGCCGGCGAAACTCAAAATTCGTCGAAGCCCTAAACAACCAGGCGGCGGAAGCGGCGGAAGCGGCGGAAGAAGAAGGAATATATGGTCTATAGGCTCCCGGGGAATGGGAGGAATACGGCGAATAGATAACGAGGGATTTTGACTCTGGCCTGTAAATTTGATGGAAATGTGTAATTTGGCGGTTCAATCGCATTTGTTTCGCAGCTATTTATTTAATTTTGGTTCCTCTAAAAATGTAAATAATTTATTTGGATAATTATTAAAGAATAATGAAATATTTCAATTGTAACTCCTTTTTAAAAGTCAGATAAAAATCAATTTTGGCCGTAATTAAATCAAATTGAGTTCTAAATGTGATATTTTGTTATAATTTTCCCTAATCCGTTCACGAATTTTAAATAATTTAATCAATGCAAAAATTAACTATAAAATTAGTTGGTCAAATTTAATCATAGGCTTAATTAATAAAAAAATACATTTAAACTTAATATTTTTATCTAAAAAATACAATAAATCTTTTGAATTCTAAAAATAGGCCTATAATAGCTTAATAAGGGCTTTCTCGACTTTCCACGCTCTTATACAATTCAATAATACTTTTGAGTTCTAAAAATAGGCTTATAATAGCTTTCCACACTCTTATAATAAATGTTTATTATTCGTTGCCCTTTTAAGAAATGTTAAATGTTCCATTCCTTGAAATTTCGTTGCCCTTTTAAGAAATGTTAAATGTTCCATTCCTTGAAATTTCACAATCCACACTTTCCACACCCTTATTCGTTCCCCACACCACCTCTGTAGAATCTCACAATCCACCTCCATTAAGGGTCAGGCAACATCCCCACTAGCATACCGCCCAATGTCTACCTCCAATACTATTTGTAACACTCAAGCCCACCGCTAACCAATATTATCCTATTTAGGCTTTCCCTCAAGTTTTAAAAAACGCCTACTAAGAGGAGGTTTCCATGTCCTCATAAAAGACTCAAGGTTTTAAAAAAACGTCTGTTAGGAGAAGGTTTCCATACCCTCAAAGACTCAAGGTTTTAAAAAGCATCTACTAGGAGAAGGTTTCCATACCCTCATAAAGACTCAAGGTTTTAAAAAGCGTCTACTAGGAAGAGTTTCCATATCGTCATAAAGAATGTTTCATTCCCTTCTCCAACTAATATAGGATCACAAAAAAAAAAAACAAAAAAATACAAAAATAAATAAATAAAGAAAAAGAAAACTACAGAAAGAACCAAAGAAAAGATCCATCAAACTACGACTCCAACTTTATCAATTTCATAAAAAACTTCAGTCTTAAATCTCTGCACCCTTAAAAGTATACTGGAAACTTGACAGACGACAGACTATATAAATAGGATAATGAAGAGATGACCAACATGAAGCAATCATTTTTGCCTGTAGGGAGCCAAAGCATGACAAAACTTAATACTGGTTTTTGCGCATTGATACATTCAAATATTCAGAAAGGGTGTGGAGTTCGATTCACAATTTGATTCCAATCCGAATCTGAAAACATCCGAATCCGAAAACATACGACGACGATCATTTTGTACAAGTAAGGCTTTAAAGCAAAGCACATTTCAACGGCAGATGAGATAAATATTTCAGAGATCTCTTGGAGAGTTTGTGATCATTGGATGGAGAAGTTTCGGTAGAGGAAGGAACTGCTGCTACTTTCCGAGCGTCTGTCTCCTTCAATTATTAAGCAAACTACAGGACTTCCCAGCCACGATCGGGATAGCAGACTCGTTCGTTTGTTAATAAAGTCAACTAACACATCACAAGTACTTGAGCATACCGCGACCCTCAACGCTGAGTTTTGTCGCTTGAAGCTGCTTCTTCTTTGGCGCCTTCAACTGCTGTAACTTTTTGTTCATCTGACACGGATGATAAAAAAATTAAAAAATTGAGTTTAGAATGAAGCTTACAGTAGGCAAGTCCAAATGAATGTGACCCTGACAATTTCTAATGCAATGATTCTCAATCTATTATATACATGCGAAAAAACAGTTGAGCAGTTGGTCACAACATCTTATTCTGCTTCTAAGGCTGTCGCCTATTCTCTTCAAATATTGCAACAATGTCTTCTTTTTCTTTTAAATTCAACCAAGTTTACATTTTAGAAGTTTTTGGGGTGCTTCCCTAACCAGTCCTTGAGCCAAAAGCACCCTCTGAATGTTTTCATACAAATATATTTATCAGGAAACGTTTATAAAACCAATTCAAACATGATTGTGAACTGGGAAGTTATAACAGCCCAAACCCAAGCCCACCGCTAGCAAAATTATCCTCTTTGAGGCTTTCCCTTTTGGTGGGTTTGGGTTTATATCTGCTCGCAGTGGGCTTGGGCTATTACAAATGGTTTCAGAGTTAAATACCAGGCGGTGTGCCAGCAAGGACGCTGGCTCCAAAGGAAGGTGGATTGTGAGATCCCACATCGATTGTAGAGGGAAACGAGTGCCAGCAAGGACGTTGGGTCCCAAAGGGAGGTGGATTGAGATATCCCACATCGGTTGGAGAGGGGACCGAAGCATTCTTTATAAGGGTGTGGAGACGCGTTTTAAAATCCTTGAGGAAAAAACCGAAAGGGGAAAGCCCAAAGAGGAAAATATCAGACTGTTACAAGAGTGGTAGTGGTTTTGGTATGAGAGGGCTTGGACTGTTACAGGAGTGGTTTTGGCATCCACAACATACGTTTTATTTTCAACACCAGAAATCTCCTAACCATGAAGTAAGATTCCTAGCTTGAGGAAGAACATGTGAGATCATAGACATTTAATATCCAGTCCAAGAGCCCAGAGGTCCCTAGCTGGGGTTCAGCAAACTAAACACCTAAACCTTGAGGTTAGGAATTTAATCTAGTCATCCACCTTCGTAGAATAATAAGGAAAACTAACCTTCATGCGACGTTGATCTTGCACGGCTTGCTTAGCACGAGCTCTGATTTCATCTGGATCTATCTTAGATTGGGGACGGACAATAAAATCCAATGGTGTTGCTTCTGGCCGTGAAGCATGTTGCCTTGAGGATGACTGACTAGACTTGCGTCCCCTGCATTCATGTCACAAATAAAAAGATCTCACATAAAGAACATGCAGAAAATAGGCATCGAACAAGAATAAATTTGAAATTAGGATTTAGAACTTAAGTGCACCAGGTACGCCACTAAATTATAAATGACATCAAATCTTACTGTGAGAATTCATCCAAGTCCAGATCCCCATCTCGAGATTCAATTCCAGCAGCTTTGTTTCCCGTCCTTCAAAACCGTTTTGCAGCAGAGTTCCCTTAATATTTAAAAAGGAAACAGAAGTACTAGGAGAAAGAAGAAAAGAAAATTAAAGATAAAGAACAATACTTTTTCCCCATTGGTCTTCTAAAGGGCACCCTCTCATCTTCCATATTTCTCATGTCCTCAAATCTAGTACTTTTGTTAAATATGGGTCGACTCTGCAATTACACGAAATGCCAATTTTGATCCATATGTTAGAAAGTTTGGCAGTAAAAGTAATGTATAAATCAGTAAGAGAATCCAACTACTACATTCTCTCTTCCCTGTGATTTCTTACAAATAATCGGTGCATGATAGCACAATGAAATTGGAAGCTACATGGATAGCACTCATAGAAAGATGGGCACCATAAAAAGCAGGAAATAAGCACCAAAATCCCACAAAAATAATCTTTCTTACCTAGAGAGCACAAACACAATCCAGAAAACAGTAAGAACTCTTTGAAATAAAACAACATATGACAGTGCAATTAAGTTGGACATGGCAGGTATTGCTTGAAACAACATCTATTCCGGTGTATGAAGGGGAAAAAACAAGGAGAAATTCCCAAATTATACATAAAACAACCCCACTACACCAAACTGGAATTCTTCTTCCAGCTTCTCCCTAATTTCATGCGAAACGGGTTCCAGTACCTTCTCGGACACATCACGAAATAAAAACTGCAGAAGAAAAGGAAAGAGGCAACATTACCCATTGATCTACTAAATCTTTTGCAAGTTTCCGGTTGGATGTGGTTTCCTCATCAGACTTCGATAGAAACATAATAACCTGCAGAATGTACAACATCATAATCATGCTTTGTTCCTGAATGATAAAAAAGGAAAGAGAAATCAGTTGAGAAAATCACTAAAGGTGACCTCGCACTAACCTTTCCAAGGCCACTCTTCTTCAGCTGCTCTCTTCTATCATATTGTTCAAGATCTATTGGAAACTAAGAAAAAGAAATCCAGCGTTGGGTGTTACTAAAATGTCATCAATAACCATAATACTTTAAGCCGTCAAAGAATAGAAATTCCATTTACATCAGTTAAAATCTTCAAGATTGCTTCCCGGATATTTATATTCGGCAAACTCCCATCTGGTAGAGGTTCAAGCCAATTCTTTAGAAGGGTTAGCACTCCGTGATCCAAGAATTCCTGTTGAAGCTGCTTCCTGTGAAGGAGAATCACAAGTTAAACAACAAACATGTATAAAAATGGAGAGAAGACTGCATCAATACATACTTCGAAAGAACATCGGTCAGAAGTGGCAGCTTTTTCAGTTTATTAACAGCAGGTTTCCCCTGCCTGTTAAGGTCCGCATCCTCTTCGGCAGTGACCTCAAGCTCAGCCATCACATTCTCCACTAGCAATGCTATTTCTGCAGGACTTTTCTCATGCTTCTTCTTCTTCTTACCCATCTTGAAGAGATCATTAATTTCGTCATCTTCCTCACCTTCCTCGGCCTATTAGAATCCAAATAGAAAAGTGGGTATTTGAAAGAACATCAAGGCCAGCAAACTTCTTTATAAGAATATCAAGACCAACAAATTACTATATATATTCAGTTACAGATGCTGCTAACTGCATTAGGTGAAATAAAGTAAATACCGATCTTCAGATGAATACAGAGCTCCAGTTTAACGAATTTGTACAATTCTTCTAATTATGCAATTCCACATATTACATGCACAGTCTTCAACTTACATGTGCCCATGAAAATATTAGACATAATTCATAACGTTATGTTGTCAAAAGAAAATTACTACTTACCTCAGGAGCATAGCGGGGAGAGCGTGGCTCATCATCACTTCCATACCGATCAGCAGGATCTACACCACTATCGTCTATAAAATTATCATCATCAACTGTTCTGGCACCTTCTTGATCATCCTATAACATCAATAGAAAACACAGTTTATAAACATCTAACCGGAAACTGTTAGTATTTTCTATACAAATAATCAAGTTTAAAAGGCATTTAATCTCATGAGATCATTGACACTTTATTCAATGGAAAGAGATCATTAATACTAAAGGCCAAGATGGAGAAGATGAAAGCACTTGACCAGTAAGCAGCGAGTTAAGTTTTAACCGTTAATACAGTAGAATTTAATGCCATAATCAAGTACCATTTTTGACAAGTCTCAAGACAATACAGACAATCTCTATCCAATGGTTTGAGATATAAAATGGAGGAAACAAATTAAGTTACTTTATAGAATAAAAAATTTCAGTAGAAAAGCTGACTTAGAACAAAGATGACATCATTCTACAAACTCAAGACATGAAGCTCCAAATCCTTGTATCTAGCAAATAGTCATTAAGCTTTTCTTCATCAAAAACAAAAGGCAGACCATCACTAAACATATGGCATAAAGGTTCAAAAGGGTGATAAGCAATTTCGATTGCACTTTCTATGGTTACAAGGTTGCAAAATCATGAACCAAAGCAGACTAAATCAAATTCTAGAACTTCCATTCAAATATAAGGAAATATGTTACTTTGAGATCACACATCAATTGGGAAAGAGAACGAAGCATTCTTTATAAGGGTGTGGAAACCTCCCGTAACAAACGCATTTTAAAAACCTTGAGGGGAAGCCCAAAAGGGAAAGCCCAAAGAGGACAATATCTGCCAGCGGTGTGCTTGGGTCGTTACATTTACAAATATAACAAACATTACATAATTCAAGAAGATACCGTGTCGCATAAACACAACATAGTTTTACACCATTAATTTACAGAAAATTTTTCAGTGGACACAATTCGAAACAAGTAAACAAATGCAAATTCATTCAACTTTGAGCTATTATCTAGTGGAGAAAATTGAACTGGCAAGGCTTATTCAATCCAAGTGATAACAAATGGTTAGAGGCGCCAATTAGAGAACCTAAATACTGGGGAAAAAAATCATTCTAGTAGCATTTGAGAAAAACCCAAGAAGAAAAACAAAAAAAGAATGAAGAATTCTTACATCAGAAGCGCCACCAGCAATAGTCTCCCACATCTCCTTGACATCCCCATCTTGATCCTTCATCCCCTTCCCTGAGAAGGCTTTCTTCGATAATCTGTTCTTGCCTCCACTACTACTACTTCCAAACTTATTATCTACTTTGAATCTCTTCTCCTTTTTCCCACTACTAATCGCCCTCTTCCTTTTCCTCTCCTCCGAACCCTCCCTCACAAACTGGTCCGCCGAGAAGTCCCTCACATCATCATAATCGTCCACCAAATTAGAGGGCACAGTCTCCTTGCCAGCCAAACTCTTTTTAATCAACCTCTTTCTAGGTCTGGCCTGAGGCTCTTCCGCATCATAAACAGGAGTCTGAGATCGCTGTCGCCCGCCCCAATCACCAATATCCTCATCTAATAGTTCGTCGGGATTGTACGGTTCAGGGGATTGTTCACCGTCTGACTGTATATGGTCAAAGTCCATCAATGGTTCACCATCCTCGTCACGGTACCTGACACCAAAAAAAAAAAAAAAACCCTATAAAGAAAAAGAACCAAATTCACACTTGCAAACCCTAATACAATCAAGTAAAATTACTCACGGATCATCTTCGTAACCCATTGACGATGATGAAAATTGCACGCAGAAATTGACGAAGCGGTAATCCCGATCGACGGGAAGGAGAACTCGAGTCGATCTCGATCACCGCTAAACCGCCTCAAATACAACTTCGCAACCGATCGGAGAAGAAGAATTGAATGATGCGTTTTGCGATTGATGAACTAAACAAAAACATCCATACTTCAGTATTTTACTCAACAAATTTGACTTTTGCGGAGGGAGGAAATCGCCAAATATATGCAAATAATACCAAAAAAACAACAAAATCAAAAAGACGTGCCTAAAAACGAAGAGGAAAAGCTTCAAAAACCCAACAATGGCGAGCTTCGGGATGGAAAGGAGACTGAGATTGACGAACAGACAAAAACTTCTGGGGGGAGCGAACGAAGGTTGCTCCCGAAGTGCGTATGGCAAGAAGCCAAGCGAAGAGGAAGTAGGAACTAGGAAGTTCTAAAGATTGGGTCAAGATTTTTTTTTTATTTTTTATTATTTTATTTGGAAAATGGGATAAAAGTATATATATATTTTATTTTTTTTTATTAAAAACATTTTATATAATAATTTATTTATTTTTAATTTTATATTTTATATTTTATATTTTCCTACTATTATATAGGGGTGTACATTCAACCCCGTAACCCGACAACCCGGACCAACCCAACCCGAACTATAAAGGTTGGGTTGGGTTGGATTAGCATTTCGGGTAAGGTTGGATTAGCATTTCGAGTAGGGTTGGGTTCATTTTTCTGAAACCGAGCCGATCAAGTTCATGGGTAAAACCTTCGGGTTGACCCGAGTCAAATAAAAATATATAAAATATATTAAAAATACATATGTATTAATGGATTTGCCAGAACTTTTGTGTTGAGTCGAAAAAATCCTCCAACCCGACCCAACCCGGACCATTTACACCCCTACTATTATCTATGGAATTCAACATTTTTAATATTTTATTTCCTTCCAAATTCTAAGAAATCTTACAAAATATGTCTATTTTGTGGATAAAAATATCATCAATTTCATACGATAATAAATCACAAAATTTATTTAAAATTTTGAATTAGTTTCATGAATCGGGATCCTAATGCACTTAAAATCTTATGTTCAAATAAACCAACAAAGATGCAGCTATGATGGAGCCGAAATTTAAACCTTTATCCATAAATTGATCGATAAAATAGGTAGTTTCTGTTAAAAGGTGTCTGTCTCAAAGTGATGCCAAAAGCCCGATTAGAACTTTTGGGCAAAGTTCTCTGTTCTCTTTATAAACGATATCTCTACTTCAAAATGTACTAATTTTGTTAATAACTTCGTTTATTGTGAGATCTCACATTAGTTGGAGAGTGAAACAAAACATTTCTTATAAGGGTGTGGAAATCTCTCTCTAGTAGACGTGTGAGCTAACGATGATACATAATGAGCGAAGCGAATAATATCTACTAGCGGTAGGTTTAGGCTGTTATAAATGCTATCAGAGCTAGATACCGAGCTGTTGGGTTTTATGTCTTAAAACTCATAGTTTGTAAACAAAGACATATTTTATTTTTAATAAAGTTATTATTGATGTTTATTCAGTAAACATTGTTATTGAATAAAGTGAACTTTACGATCATTAATCTAAATCCAATAAACTAAGAACACTCTTGCTATAGAATGATTAACTTGAACTATATATAGAGACATAAAAGTGGATAAAGTTTAAGTATATAGTCAAAATGATCTATAGAATAAGGATAAGGCTGAGTACCTTATTCTGGGGACACTATGGATGCGGCCCACTTTTGTATATGATATAAACAATGTGATCACTAAATTGTACATGTGGAGACATGTGAGTGGGGGCGTCCTATGCAATGAGTATTGCATAAGATCGGACCATATAGAAAATTACTCTCTCTTTATGATGTCGTTTACTGTTGAGACTGATTTTCTTTTCATTCGATGACCTAGGTAACTTGATCTTAATCCTGAGCTAACTATGAACTCCTGTTCATTCGGAATTATCCTTAGATTTGCATGGGTGAGAGTGGCTCGAGTTCGCCGACTCAATAGGCCTCCCATTTCAGGGGTAAGACTGGGTGAATAGCTAGGGACGTGGGGTACAAGATGGAATTCGCTCCTACCCACTTTTAGGGATAGAAGAGAGGTAGTTCCCTTAAGCGCTGACTCCCGGTCTTGAACAAGGGGTCTCACCCACTCATTGGCCTGAGAGAAATTTGGTTTACTGGTTGGACCACAAACCAATTGTTCATAAGAGGATCAGTGGGACATAAGGAACAAGAAATAACTTCAGGGGTAAAACGGCCAATTGACCCAGCAATTATGGTTATGTCAAATGGACAGAAATATATCTATAGTGAGGGGAGTGCAACTACTAGGCTATAGTGGAGTGTCCTAGTAGTTAACGAATGTTGGTTAACAAGATTAATGAGTTTAACCAGTTAATCTTGGATCGTTGGAGCCCATGATCTTTAGGTTCATTAAGTCCCTCTGCTAGCTCATATCGGACTAAACCATAGAATAGTGTGACGAGTGAGTTCGAAGTGTTCGAATTCAAATTAGGGAATATGCGCTACATATATACGATATATTTAACACAAATTAAACAAAAAGAGAGAATTTGAGATATTTAAATAAGATTTAAATATTTTAATCAATTATGTGTCGGAATTGATTGAAATTGGCATTTGAATTAATATTAAATATTAATTAAATAGTTTAATTAATCATTTAATGTTACTTTAATTTGAAATTAATTATTCAAATTAATTATTGAATTAAAATGAAGAAAGTCAAAATGTTGACTTCATTTAATGAAAAAATCCATGTTAGTGGAGAATTTTGAGGTGTCAAAATTTGGTTTAACTAAACTTGCATGTTTGCCAAATAAACCCCACAAGTTTGAGTGGAATTTTGAGCGTCAAAATTTGGTTAACTCAAACATGCATGCTTGCCACATAATTCCAAACATTTGAGTGGAATTTTGAGTGTCAAAATTTGGTGATCTCAAATTTGCATGAACATGCAAACATGACTCTTTAAATAGAGTGATCATGGTACATGGTACATGGAAGGTCTTCTTCCTTAAAAAGACATTGAGAAAATTCTCACAAGCTCTCTCTTCATATATACTAAATTCCTCCCAAGTTTAGTCACTCACCGGATTCCACAATCCCGTTCTAAGGCCGGAGGATAGTGGAGAAGACACTAGTGGTGGTTCAAAACCGGTTCGTGAGGAAAAAGGAATTTGAACTACAAAAGGTTAGTATTCAAATTCATTAAGTTTTAATACTTATGAACATGCTAGTTATTGACTATAATTGATGTTCTAAAAGTGCCTAAGATCCAAATTGTTTCCGCATGTGTTATATTAACACCATCACGAGCGGTGTGTTAGCGAGGACGTTGGCCTCTCAGGGAGGGTGGATTGTGAGACCTCATTGGTTGGAGAAGGGTGTTGGATGAAAGTCCCACATCGACTAATTTAGGAAATAACCAAAGAATACTATCTCCATTGGTATGAAGCCTTTTGGGGAAGCCCAAACCAAAGTCATGAGAGCTTATACTCAAAGTCGATAATATCATACCATTCTGGAGATCCGTGATTCCTAACATAATATCGGAGTTATGCCCTAAACTAAGTCATGTCAACAAAATCCTTAAATGTCAAACAAAGGACTCCAAAAGAAAAGGACTCGAGGCTCCTCGAAGGCATAGTAAAAAATGACTAAGACTCCAAAAGAAAAGGAGTCGAGCCTCGATTAAGGGAAGGCGTACTTTGTTCGAGGGGAGGTGTTGAATGAAAGTCCCACATCGGCTAATTAGGGGGTGGTGTCGGATGAAATCCTTGATTCCTAACAAGGGGAACAAAGCATTTCTTATAAAGGTGTAGAAGACGTGTTTTAAAACCATGAGACCCTAGAATACGTGTTTTAAAACTATGAGGCTGACGGTGTCTAAAGTGGACAAAATCTACTAGCGGTGGGCTTAGGCTGTTACATGTACATTCAAACTTAATATGATGTATATGCACCTATCAATGTAATACATACACTATGTGGGTGCAGTCAGGGGGTCTTCAACTATTCTCTAATTGTAATCTTGTCAAAGCATGACAAAGAGGACCACACAAAGTTAGCAAACACGAGAGTTACTCCTTCTTGTGTCACGTGTCTCATTCACATTGTGAGACTATTAGGACTAGACCAACTGCCTTAGTAGTAATCTATCACAGAAAACATACTCTACGATGTATGCCAGCAAAACCAAGTTGGAAATACAATGACATACACTAAGACTATAACACAATTATCTGGATATCTCGAACTTAGCTATATATTAGCCTAGCTAACGAGCTCTAAGAGACTAGCAAGCTAGAGAGAGCTTTATTTGGCTACGGTAGAAAAGTTAGAAACTGGCCAGCTGAAAATTAAAAGTAAGCATAAGAACCGACATAGTTTTACGATGTTTGGGTACAAGTAGGTCTAGGGGCTTGTGATGTACACCACGTAATCACTCTATGTGAGACATTAACTCAATAACAGTTGTTTGCATAAGCTTTCAAACAAACCCCAAGGTTGAGCAAAAGAGATTTAGTTAAACTTAGATACTCATGGTAAGGAAACTCATTCGTGTTACTTTCCTTTCTTATAGGTGAGACCTGAGTATCGGTTAACGACAATGGCATGAGGAAGCTGAATGGTTATGAACCTGTTAGATTGAAGTTTAGACTAGACTCCAGAGTTTTTGCTATCCGTTATGTCATAGAATCTTTAGATGTTTTTTTAGGACGAGTTGACTTTTGGCCTAACGAAGAGCAGAAACTGGAATATGTTCACTCTCGTGAGACATTTGAAACGATTCAAGGTCACTTGTCTCTTGTCCTTTGAGATCCATTTGTCAATCCCTTACTTACATTGTAGCGAAAATTCGAACTTTTAACCTTTTGGTCGAAAACAAGTGTAAAACCAGTTGAGTTATGTTGAAGATAACAAGTGTAAAGATCTATGATACTCGAGCGTAGAAGTTTAAAAATCAAATTTATAATTTTACCCCGAATTTTTCTTACCTAGGGTGAAAAGGAGAGGGGTATTTTCGACATTAACCATCAAAGACGATGGGTAATAACCGGGCTGGCTGAGGACAGCTTGGAACTGGTGGCGAACGCCGTTAGTCTTGGACACGCTTTCTTGACGGGAGGCTTCCCACCGTCTCCGCCGATTTCAGACGGTTGGAATTGGAAATGGAAATGAAACGCTCGTTTTTACCATATTACCCTTTCACTCATGCCTTAATTACAAAACTCCCTCCCCACCTTTCATAGGCTTCTTTTATGATATTACTTTTTTTTTTTTCTATAATAGTTCATAAACTTCTACTTAAAAAATTTTAATTTTTTAAAATTAATTTATTTATTAAATATAAATATAAAATTTATGTTTGATTAAATCGAA